AACTGCATGATTGGGAGAGTACCGCTCGAGCAAGTGAACACATGTGGGTGAAGGAGTATTGTCGAAGAATTACTTATTCGCTTTCAGCCGTGATATTACCAGAGTACTATTATGTGGATAGTGCAGATGTGCGCGAAGTATTGATATGTTAGGAATAACATTGTAAAGTGAACACTATTGTACAAGGAGTACTATGATTTAAAGTGTATGGACCTGCATGCCGTATCGTTATCTTTATCCGTTATCCAGGCCTACAATGATATTGTATGAATAAAACACCTGTATCAAGTAGGGAAATATACATAGTGTACCATTAATATATAAGGCATAGCATGATATGAACTGTATATATGTGTCTAAAGTGTCAATGCTGGTAAAGAATACAGTTGTATCAGGAATATTCTTGTATAGATTTACCGGTTATGCTGTTATTGTAAAGAACGGGAAATATTTTACAACTAAGACAAAGGTTGTAGCACATTCATTTGAAAGAAATTATTGTCCCTGCACTCATATGATATGTAGAGAGAAGGGAAAATGAGAAGTGGCATTCTGTGGAGTGCAATGATATTCAAAATACAGTATTGTATGAGGGATACGGAGATTCTCAGAAACCGTCCTTTGAAAGATAAGGATTTTCCTACAATATGCCCCATCGAAAATGCAAAAGTGTGTGAATTCCCGGCTATGTGTTCCAAATTTCGGTTCCTATTATTTGGACGACACGAGTCATTGATAAGTTTAGATCTCTATGAAATAGTATTATGTGAAGAATTGAGGGCTACATTCTAAAGAAAAGAGGAAGCCATTAATTACGCGCAGGTGCAAGAGCTATAGCTGTGTTGAATGTATTATTGGCGTATTAATACAGTAGAAGCAGAAATACTTGCATATGCACAATGCAGGGAATTCTAGCGGAAATGTTGTTTGTAATGTACGGTGTCGCAGGAATGCTTCTATGTGGAGGCCTCATAACATAGTGTTTTAGATACGACTAATTGGAGAACGTGAGTAATTGAGGAATAATGATTTATGTGTAGTATTATTTAAAAAATATCGCTCCCCCCAGGAATACGGGCCTGTGGAATGTACGCTTAGTATACAGCCCTATTATATGAACCATGCCTCTATACCTCCAGTATTATTTTGTGTAGTGTATACATGTCTCCTGAATATTATTCTGCACGAGGTTCATATTTTACAGTTCTTTTATTTGGAGACTATTATTGGTTGAACATGTCAAATCTCGATGGAGAACCATGATATCAGAAACATAATCGTGGGGATTCTATGACTGGAATAAGTTTATATGGGAAAGTTAGGCAAACGGGTGCTATTATTTGAAGAATAGAATGAGGCGAAGAATATACACTTCCTTGGAAGACTAATATATAAGGAATACATTGTTCGCCACCATTATTAAGTATGTGAGAGGGAGACATTTCTTTAGAGTATCACTGCATAAACAGTAGGAGAATCGCGAAAGTCCCTATTGTGGAGTCGTCAAGATTTAAAGCAGGAAGCAGCATAATTTAAAAAGAGATATTTAGTAAGAGATAATAGAGTGGATGCAGCGATATGCTTGGAGGCGTTCCAATCACTAAGCGTTACACATATATAGACTACGGGATGCCTGCGGTATATTTGTATTAACTGTAAAATTCGGACTTACAGCAACTGTTTAGAGGATAAGCCTCTGTCAAGGGTAATATTCTATGTAGAACACTGCTGTGTGGGGAGGAAAATTGTTTAAGATAATAGAGAAGTTTGAAGAGGCGAATTCCATCAGGAGGACGCCAGTTGTAAAAATCATACCATTTCACCAATACACTGGCTTCTAAAATAATTCCATTCGAGGAATACTCATATACCAATCCTAAGGCTATTCATGCTGTATAAGAAACTGAGGGATACTATCACTAGAATGGGTTTTAAGATACCGAAAGTGTTTCAATATAGGGAGCACTTCTTATAGGCCAAGTAACACTGTAAGTACAGTAATACATCGTGAACTGTGATTATTCCCTCTCAATATTATTGTAATATAGATTCAATAATTATCCGGATACTATTAAGAAGAAATGATTACGGAAGATTTGCACACCTGTTTTAATCTGTAGTATTTTCCTCTTAACAAGACTCGAAATCGATGCGGTACTATTAAAATGTAACAATTATGTAAGATGAAAGAATAAACTTCTTATACTCTAAGGAGGAATAAAAGATTCCAAGAGGAATACTGCTGTGTAGAACAAGGTGTGTCTCGTGGAGACTTAGGAATAATAATAAGATGAAGCCAAACAGAAGGATAGAATGAGCATAAGAATAAGAATACACATAAGATAATAAAGAATCATTAATCTGAGAGAGGGGGGAGCAACCATATAGGAGCGGATGACTATAGTAGAATGTATATACGAAGGGGACTGACAAATTTGAGAGAATTATCTTCCTCCACCCTGAGGCAAAAATCTATGTGACCCCCTATAGATACCCCAAAGAGCAGTGGGCATATCAACAGGACGGTCAAAGTGGAAATGCCTAGAAGGGAAGGTACATAATTAATACATACAGAAGAGACAACACGAGAAGAGAGGATACAAGGGAACATGCTCACAGGATGAAGATTAGACACTACACCCAAAACATAGAACCCAGAAACACAGTAGGGGTGACACATAAGGAATAATGTGAGCAGCAGATCTTTCCCTCTAACAAAATAGATATATGGAATCGAGGGTTTCCTGTTTTCTAACATATAAAAGAAGGAATAAGGACAGATAATATCTTGAATCTGTGCTGACCTCATGGAGAATAATAGGTCGTACAATAACTTCATTTTTGTCTGTATCTAAGACTATAGAGGATGCTATAACGGGCGTCTCCTTATTCCCCACAGGAGGATGTAGAGTGTTAAGTGGTATTCATAATCCCTTTTATGCCTAAGGGAGTAGAAGCCTATAAAATGCATAAATTCCCCTATTCACATAAAGACATGTCATATAAAGGAGTCTTATACAGGCATAGAATTATAAGGTTCCTCTGAGAAATGAGAGCAAGTGAATAAATAAATCCTCCAGTTGGCAGTGATATGGTCTTTATATGAGTTATAAGTGTACTGCTATATAAGCATATAAACGATAATAGAAAAATTACGTCCTTTAATAATGAGTCAAATAATTTTATGAATCTATTGTGTATTATTCCACGTGATTAATTAACCCAAATTTTCGAAAGTATTGGTGAGTTGTTGTGGGGATCATCTGAATAAACAGGGGACTATTTATGTTTCGATAGATTATCATAATATGCATTTATGCCACAGGTGGCAAAGGAATGACTGTTTAAATAGTTGGCTACAAGATATTGTGGCATAAAAAATATTTTCTTGCTATATAACATATCATAAGAGATGATATAAAGGAAGCTATCGTGATCTACTAAGCAGTAAATATGCAAAAGGCTATGACATAGCGGGGGAACATCATATAATGGTTAGGAATTTACTGATAGGAGATAGTGTATATTATAAGGGAAACAGAAGAACAACACAAGAGGACCAAGGAACAGAAGGAGAGAAGAAAGCGATATGGCGTTTGCGCCGTAATATAATAGATTAAGCCATGGAGCAACCTAGATGAGAGGCCCTAATGTAACCAAAGAAGCAGAGTAACACCAGAGGACGAAAAGGCTAAAGAGCCCCCATCTCGCACGCCAATGACCCAAAGCCCAAGCCCCCAGAGGAACAAGTAGCCGTGAATAACACCTCGTGAAAGTAGAGCAAGAGGAATAGAAAAGCTTGATTTAAAAAGGAGAAGGAGAATTCTGGACGAAGAACACCAGGAACTCTAAGAGATCATGAAGCTAAGGATCTGCTACAATTCAGGAGTCTATCTGAGCGGAATCTAAACAGAAGTATTTCCCAGGCAACGCGCGGAAGAAAATGGAAACAAGAGGAAGGAACTGGCGGGAACCCCCTGGATAGCGGAAAAAGTTCAGGACGTTCCGTTTCACACATACTTGACATATTTAAGTGTACAGGTCACAAATGAGATTTTGGATCTGAGAGAGGAGAAGAGTAAGTAGGACACAAGTCAGGGAGCCCGAAAGCAGCTTATACCGCCAGGGAAGCCCGAAGGATGAAGCGGCTTTATATCAGAGAAGAGGAAAGCGAGCTAGACGACGAAGATTGGAGTCTAGGTCCAAGTAAGGGGTATGGCCGCCACCGTCTTAGAAGTAAGGAGGGTAGTGAGGAAGCAGCAGGGACAGCGTAGCACCAATGAAAGAAATATTAAGGGAAAACATGAACCGACACCCACCGTCTGCTTGATCGTGGAGGGAAACCTAAGAACTAATCAGGAACCATATGACAGGGATATCCCCGGGCATGGAAGGGAGCAAGGAGAGATGAAATGGGGAGGAGGATTCCAAAGGCGGATCAACAGAAGAATGATCTGAGGAGAAACCATCTACTGTCGGAAGAGCCCGGAATATTGAGAAGCCAGGGGATTAGGCAACGACGCCGGAATGTCACAAGAAGTAGAGCAAATAATCTTCCCCCCCCCATCCCAGAGCGAACTATATCCCACCAGGAAACAAGGGGAACGAAAAGGGACCACCTGAGGAGCTTCCCCTGATCAAAACAAACATGCCAAACATAAAGCGCGAGAGGAGAATATCAAGATGACGGGAGAGTCTCCTAATAATAAGGAATAATGAGGAACGATTAAAAGGCTCGTAATCAAGGTAAATATTGACAACAACACGGACCAAACAGGACTAATAAAGAGATAGAGAGTAAGAAAAAGAATAACGAAGCACCCAGCAACCAGAAGGAACGCAACTCCAAAACGAAGAATGGGGAATAGAGGTACCTTAAGAATAGGAGTTAGGCCAAGTCAGCACTGAAAATGCCACTGAGGGAGGCTTAGCATGACCGAAGCATTTCAGCCCCCCAAGTTTCTCAGTCAAAAAATTCATTAAAGCAGGCTCGTTAAAACATGGGGTTTGAATTAACAAAGTATCTCAAGCACCTCTGGAGCCTAAACCAATGCCCAAGTAACGAAGAAATATCATCCCCCGAAAAATTCCGACTATGTCAGATTCAGAGGCAAGGGAAGAATATTACAATTGAAATCCCAAGTAACAGGGGACCTGAGACTCTCACCACTAATATCATGAACAAGGAAGATATAAGGAGGAGAGCAGTTCTTCTCTGTAAAGGACTTGAAGCCTGGATGTCAAATTTAAACAAGAGTACAAGCAACCCCTCCAGGTGGAAGCAGACCAAGTGCCAACTCACCGATGTAGGAATCCCTAATGGTACAAGGAATGAAGTCAAGTGTCCCCCGAATGAGCAAAGCGAGTATTGGAGGGATTTCACTAGCAACAAGAAGTTATATCTTTGGCAAGAGGCACACCGCACCTTTCAAACATGTGTTGATATGATGAGTATCTTCATTCATATCTATAGCCAATACGATCGCTCAAGAATAGAGAGAGCAAGGGAAGAAGGGACCAGTATATGTCAACATCTGAATAGCAGTCTAGAGACATGGGCGGACAAGGAAGTAGCAAAGAGGATAATGAACGACTGGTTTCTGACTGATCCCGGGAGGGGAGGCCAAAATTATATAAGCATGGAGGATGGGAAGCCCTTGAGTGAAAACCTAAGTATATTACTGAATAAAATGAGTCTTCTAGTCTCAGGAGTGCAGTGTAGCAGAGTTGATGAAGAGAATACCAATTATACGGATATTTGTGTCTATATCGACCCCAAACAATGTGAGATGATGGGAGAACACCAGGATACTGGACAAGGTAAACGAAGTTAACTTATAGAGGACTCCGCATCAAAGGGTCAAATGAAGAGAATGAGGCAGCTCAACCCCGTGAAGAGTGGAGGGTGATTCAAGCAATCCCTAGGAGGGGCCACATTTTAATCTAATGTGAAAAATACCAATATCCTTATCTACAGATAATAAATATCAGGGTCTTATAGAAAAGGTGGAAAAGAAGGAAACAGACGAAAGGAGAAAAGAGGAAATAAGGACACAAACAAGGAAATTTGCCGAAATCGCTAAGAAGGACGAGGAGTCTTTGAGGGCCCAAGAGGAAGGAGACGGAGGATCCTTTCATATATATATGATAATCCCTGGAATAGTCTTCCCCCTTTTGGGGATTACCGCGATGATATTCCTAAGAAAGAGAAACAAATCAACGAGGATCCAGCAACACCAGTCCAATATCTCCTCTAGAAGGGAAGACTTTTCCGCGACTCCAGCCCCAAGAGGACTAATTAGCTATAGGACCAATGACAAGGCCGACTAAGCCAGAGAAGGAAGATGACGTATAAGGCTAACGTAGAGGAGAGCTTTACAGTTCTATAGCAAGAGTGACTTTATATGTTCCGAAGGACTATGCATCGAGAAGATAGGTGTAGGAGTTCTTCCGTATTGTCAAGAGAATGATCGCTAATAAGAACTGCGGAGGGATTTTTCAAGGAGTAATAAAGGATTTATTAAGTGGTTTTATTCCAATGAATTAAAGGGAGGGGGTGTGTGATAACATCGCATAAGGCGTTATACCATTGAAGCATAATAGCCACACCCCCTTTGTCTAATATTGGTGCAGGGCAATTAATTAAGATAGATGGTGTGAGTACAATTTTGTTTTATTTAGCTGACCTTTAGGAACATATTGGAGAGAGTTAACATAGAAGAGAAAATCACTAATTCATTATGATATTTCTTATATAAGAAACAACCCATAAGAAAAAGCAGGCGCCACATCACGAATCTCAGAGCTTATTAGCCCAGGAAGAAGAAGAAACATATTGTACCAGTCTAATGTTATACCAAAAATGGGAAAGTCGAGCATTATTACATCCTGGACATTCCAATGCAGGGGGGAATTTCATATTCCAATTTAAGGAGCTGTCAGTTAATACCTGGGACTATTTGACAAATGAGGGCAAGTAAAAAATTTTACATGCCACTAAATTTATCAAAGGAATTTATAAGGGAGAGGTTAATTCACAAAACAAGAAAGAAGAGGTGTTCCATCCTGTTATTTTTCTTCCGGGGACTTACAAAACAGAAGAAGTTTCAAAAGGATAAGAAGAAACGACACCTTAGGCGTTTAATAATGTTCAAGAAAACCTAATCCTAAGAGATAGTTAACCAACGGAGAAAAGCGAAGGTGTTTGACCGGATTAATATTGTTTCGGAAATTACCATGGCACAGAGTAATGGAAGCAGAAAACGGGGAAGGCATATTCCACCCATTTAATTTTATTACATATATTGCAATAGCCGAAGTAATTCCGCACAAAAAGGAAGCCAAGTTTTCGACGCCGGAAATTTTATTACATATATTGATATAGCAAAAATCATTCCAAAAAAAAAAAAAGAAAGTTTTCGACGCGGCTAATTTTATTACATATATTGCTATAACAGAAATAATTCCA